ACACCACATACAAATACACCACACACACACACACAAATACACCACACACACACACAAATACATACACCACACACACATACACCGCATTCACACAAATATACCACACACACACACAAATACACACACACACTTGATTTTGTTTTCTCTGTTTAGGGAAATAAATACAAGTATTTGTGTTTCAAAGATACAGATTCACTGACAGGGGTAAATAAGTTGCATATTAGACACTTTACATTAATACAGATACTAAATAATGTAAACATGTGAAACACTATCACACACATTTTGTGATGTGAGGGAGCCCAACACACAAATGCTAAACCTCACACACGAGCTGTTTCTCTGAATTCCTAACACATTCAGCCTGGCAGCAGCGGAGCCCCACAGAGCGGCACATCACAGGTATTAGCTGCCCTAACACAGCTGTGCACATGCAGACCAGGTTAGCCTCCGATGCACACAAACACACATTATGGGCTACATGCATCTCTGAAACCTCAAGTTAAACACTTCTTCAATCATGTCTCTCACCAGGACCTTTAATGATCTAAATCTGCTGCAGCCTGTTGAGAAGCATCTAATCCTTCCTTGTTACAGACTAATCAACTCAATTGGAGCTTGATAATGATGAAGTCATTCAAATCATTTTCCAGATTCTTGACCCAGATCTTACAGTATGTTCTATATCAGGGATCACCAACTACATTTGTCCAAGGGCCAAAATGTATCCAATAGACACAATCGCGGGCCAGTGATTTTGATATAGTCCACAATGCTAGTGGAGCACGCTCAGGTACTGCAGCGGACCTTTAATTTATTATCTGAAATGATGTAATAACTTTTAAAACTTGTTCCAGTCACTTGCCCCATGCATTCAGCAGCAGCAGGCCATTCACTTTGATTTGATAGTTATGAAATGTCATAATTTCGACAATAAAGAAATGCTACATAAACGTTATCTTGCACATTTGATCCAACCATCTCCATTTCTAACTTTCAATATATTTTAAAAGAGATCTCTCTCTCTCACTGCGTGCGGGGGCGGGGCCTCAGACAAGCTGCATCTCTCTCGCTCACAGACATGCTGCAGCGCTGTGCAGTGTGCACACAGTTCTGCCGGTAATGAATGTTACATTTTGTGAGGAAACTTTTCCACCAATAATTCCAATAAGTATTCCAAAATGTATTCACTTCAGGTTACGAAAGTAACTGTAATCAGATTACTCGTTTTTGAAATGTAACGCCAGCTGAATACAGTTAGCCTACTTGATTTTTATATTCTGCGTAACGCCGTTACATGTATTCCGTTACAACCAGTCTATGGTTACAACCCAACCCTGCTTCTAGGCTACTGTCCCGCAGCTCCTGCCTCTGTTGGACTCCGTCGCAGCGGGGCTACTGCTGCGGAGCGCACAAAGCAGACTCTTCACAACGAAGGGTCACTTCTTCTTGAAGGCAGGGAAGGTTTCGCAGTACGCAGTCTACTGTCCCGCAGCTGCTGCCTCTCTGTTGGACTCCGGTACTGCACCTTACTCACGACGTTGTAAAAAATAAAAATGGTTGGGAGGCGAACGCAGTAACCACTCAGCCAACGCCACAGTCACCCCCGTCGTGCGGGCCGGATGAGAATGTCTGGCGGGCCGGATGTGGCCCGCGGGCCGCCAGTTGGTGGTCACTGTTCTATATGAATGATAAAAAAACTAGGGCCGGGACTCGATTAAAAAAATTAATCTAATTAATTAGAGGCTTTGTAATTAATTAATCGAAATTAATCGCATTTTTAATCGCATATACATATTTGACCTAAGAACAGTGAGAAGCAATTTTTTTTCACATGGATTTTAGTATACCATTAGGCGCATTCACACCGCAGTACTTTTCCCACAAAGGTTCATGAGAACTTAGTTCATGAGAACTCTTTGAACCTGGGGGTGGATTAGGCAAATGAAGCCGCTGACGTCACTTCTTCTTCTTCTGCTTTGGGTTTACTGGCAGGCCGCAAACCACTTCACGGCGTATACTGCCGCCCAAAGTCCCCGGCCGGAAGTCCCCGGAGTTGGGGACTGGCTTCAGTAGAAGCTGCTGGGAGTCCCAGCAGCCTTCCGAGTAAATCGCCAGAACGCCGACACCCTCCTCATCTCCACCGCTCCCATGTTTTATTTTGTGTTGCCATAAGTTAGTCTCTCTGCGTTTCTGCGCTGGGCTAATGCTAATAATGCTAATGCGAGGATAATAAAATGGCGGCTTCACAAAACTTTTTGGGAGTTTTACGGGGCGTGGTTTGCAATCCGCCCAGCCAATCAGAAATATAGCTCTTTTCTCACAAGAGAGCCGCACGAAAGTCCCTGCTCTCTAGCAGGGACTTTCGTGGGGGTAAAAAGGTTCTCATTAACTAATTTTAGTACCGGCTCTTTTTGGTGTGAACGCGATAAAAGAGGCTAACGTCCATGCTAGCTTCCACGCTAGCTGCTATATGTTTTGCATTGAGGTGATACTTGAGGCTTGAGGTGTTGCGGTGATATGCGAATTCCTTTTTGCATAATTTGCACACAACCGTGCTCTTATCGACGCTTCCATCCGTCCGTTTTTTAAAACAACATTTCCCACTGTTGTTCACTGTGGTTTGTTGTTGTCTGAAGTCATGAACGTTAGTTGGTGCTCCAGTATAATCGGTACGCCTGAAACTCATCCAGTGAGAAACGTTCCGCGGTGCAAAAATAACTGCGATTAAAATGCGTTAATTTTTGTGTAATTAATTAATCTTAATTAACGCGTTAAAGTCCCGGCCCTATAAAAAACCTACATTAGTGTATTAGAGAGGTGTTGGGCCACAACAAGCCTACAGAGCAGCTTCTGCTAAAACGGCTGTCCTCATTAAGTGTTCATGATGCGGTTGGAGCACAGTTTGTACACATCTGTCCGGAATCTCCCATGTGAGCTCTCCTGGGTTACGTCAGGTGATCATTTTCACACATATAACATTTAGTGAAGTCTCCTCTCCTGTATGATGCCTCTAACAACAACAAAACAATTCCATTAACACATACTAACTAGGGCCGGGACTTTAACGCGTTAATTAAGATTAATTAATTACACAAAAATTAACGCGTTAAAAAAATTAACGCATTTTAATCGCACTTATTTTTGCACCGCGGAACGTTTCTCACTGGATGAGTTTCAGGCGTACCGATTATACTGGAGCACCAACTAACGTTCATGACTTCAGACAACAACAAACCACAGTGAACAACAGTGGGAAATGTTGTTTTAAAAAACGGACGGATGGAAGCGTCGATAAGAGCACGGTTGTGTGCAAATTATGCAAAAAGGAATTCGCATATCACCGCAGCACATCAAGCCTCAAGTATCACCTCAATGCAAAACATATAGCAGCTAGCGTGGACGTTAGCCTCTTTTATCGCGTTCACACCAAAAAGAGCCGGTACTAAAATTAGTTCATGAGAACCTTTTTACCCCCACGAAAGTCCCTGCTAGAGAGCAGAGAGCTGCTAGAGAGCAGGGACTTTCGTGCGGCTCTCTTGTGAGAAAAGAGCTATATTTCTGATTGGCTGGGCGGATTGCAAACCACGCCGCGTAAAACTCCCAAAAAGTTTTGTGAAGCCGCCATTTTATTATCCTCGCATTAGCATTATTAGCATTAGCCCAGCGCAGAAGCACAGAGAGACTAACTTATGGCAACACAAAATAAAACATGGGAGCGGTGGAGATGAGGAGATGTCGGCGTTCTGGCGATTTACTCGGAAGGCTTCAGTAGAAGCTGCTGGGACTCCCAGCAGCTTCTACTGAAGCCTTCCCCAACTCCGGGGACTTCCGGCCGGGGACTTTGGGCGGCAGTATACGCCGTGAAGTGGTTTGCGGCCTGCCAGTAAACCCAAAGCAGAAGAAGAAGAAGTGACGTCAGCGGCTTCATTTGCCTAATCCACCCCCAGGTTGTGGGAAAAGTACTGCGGTGTGAATGCGCCTAATGGTATACTAAAATCCATGTGAAAAAAAATTGCTTCTCACTGTTCTTAGGTCAAATATGTATATGCGATTAAAAATGCGATTAATTTCGATTAATTAATTACAAAGCCTCTAATTAATTAGATTAATTTTTTTAATCGAGTCCCGGCCCTAATACTAACACATGATATAATTCAGAAATATTACATACATTTGTTGCAAATCCTGAGGTGTGAGAGACTGAGAGGTAAATACTTTCAAAGACCAGTCGAACAGGTTTTACAGCAGCTATCGAAGAAAAGTAGGGCTGAGTCAATTCGCGTGATTATTCGCTAAGTTGATGGACAGAAAATGAATTGCAAATATATGTGTTTTCATAATCAAATGAAAAGTGAAAAAAAAACCTTTTTGTTGCACCTCAACTGAAACGGGAGCTAATTCAGTGTCAGGTAGTCGAAAACTATTGAGAGCCCAAAAATAGATCAGAAGCATAAGGAGCACTAAGAGTAGCCAGAGGGAAAGAGATCGTACTGTATGTAGAGGACAGTCAGAAACACACCTCTCGGCCTCAGGGCTTCAGTCTTTAGTGAAACCTGAAGCTGTACAGAGAGGAAGTGAGCTCTTCACTTAAGGCTGATGGACTCTCTGGATCTAAACTGCACTCTCTGCCCAACTCTCCAAGTCATTCCACACTGTTTCACATATTATGCTATTAAACCTTAGTATTCACTGCATTTCTCATAGTGTGCCGTGCTGTTACGGCCTTTTGATTGCCTTTGAGCCGTCCAGCTCCTCTATGCTAATTCTAGGTCTGTTCTACATTTCCCTAAACACAGGAAACTGATGACTTCATTTTGATGCCCTGCTCTCTTTCTTGTTTGTTCATATTTTAAAAAAAGGTCTGGCCACAGATGACCTGCATGTCAGAGTTTATAAGGAGGGGTAACAAGTAAGCACATTGTATTACAAAATAAAGTATTCTCCTCTTGCGTTGCTAGGCACCTGGGTGAACGAGGTCCGCCTCCAGCCCGGCATCCAATGGGAGCTCTCAGACGGGGACACGCTGACCTTCGGGGGCCAGTCGGCTCCAGGGAGCCCCGAGTTCTACTTCCTCTTTCAGAAGGTCAAAGTTCGTCCGCTAGACTTCGATGCCATCACGATTCCAAAGGTAATGTCTGCTGTGATTTCATAGGTCAGATAAAGCAGAGATGGTGGACTCTTCACTCCCAGAATCTGTGCTGTTTTGGTTTACTGGTTCACATTTATAATGACACTTCATCGCCCTCAACAGTCAGTTATAAATTGCACCTTTTTTTTGCAAAGTTATCGCAGGCTTGTTTTAACCAAATGAGTACAGATATCTGGTCGTATTTAGAATTGGAGAATCCTCACGTAAATACTCACTACCACAACACTAAATAAGTATTAATCCACCTAAAAAGTCCTACTGAAAATGACCTGTTATTGGTGATTTTAAATGACTGTTTGAAAAAAAAAAAACGTGTGTTATGTTGGAACCAGTGGTGAAGCCTTGTACTTGGGTATGGAAGTCGTACATAATTGAGAGAAGCACCATACATTCAATTCAAGGCTTTATTATCATTTACACAGAAGCTACAATGTAGATATGGCAATGAAAAACGTAGGCCACAGGCTCCTCCAACAGTGCAACATATATATATATATATATAGAGAACATTGTTGTTTTGGTTATTTTTATAGGGATTTATTGACAATGAGAAAGATGATTACATATTTGCTGCTCAAGCTTCAACAGTGCAGGCATTGTAAAGCTGTGATAATGGGAAAATGCCATGGACAGAATAGTAAAAGCAGAAAAGGTTATCTCTGGGCCATTTTAAAGATGATCGATGCTTTCACATTTTGCACTTGACGCATTCAAATGAAACCCGATGTGTATTTGCCTTTGCTACATAAAGTTCTAATGTCTATGCGTTGTCTCCTAGGCTGGCACCTTCTCCTCCGACCTTCAGAACCGGATCAGAACCAACCAGGAGCGTAAAGCGGCCGCCAACCTGGACCTGTCCAAGCTGTCCATCAACCGCTCCACCGTCATCCTCAACTCCATCGGCAGTCTAAGCAAGATGAAGGGCAGTGCCTGGACCTTCAAGAGGAGCCACAGCAACGAGGGCACCGCCTCGGACCCCGGCTCCTCCTACTCCCCCCCCCTGGAGGTGGGCATGTCCTCTCTGCTCCCGCCCTCCACGCCTCCATCCTTCTCAGCTGTTTCAGTGCCTTCATCAAAGTCCCAGCAGCCGACCTCCAGGAGCCGCAGGAAGTCGGCTCACACCGTGCTGCTGGAGGACGACAGCTCCGACGAGCCCAGGGGTCGAGGAGGTAACGCTCAGCTTAATGCCTGAAGGAATCCACACTGAGCTCTCTGCAAACATGGGAGGCTCCAGATCCGTAGAGCCTAGCTTTTAAAACAAGTGATTCTGTTCATTTACCCAGGCCAGTTAGTAAAGCTGCACACACTAAACACACGATAAACTGACATCTTTTAACCGTTTCCTTAACCTCAGTGTCCTTGGGCAAGATACTTAACCCCACTTTGCTCCCATAATATGTCTACAATATTAAAGTTAATGCAAGTTTCTTTGGATACAAAGCTAAATATCACGTAAAGTATAAAACCTACACTTTAATGATAAAGTGTGTAGCGCTCTTTGCAGCAGCACAGACACAGGGAAAACAAAGATATCTTTATCTCTAGATGTGCTTCCAGTAATCATGTCTAATGTTGTCCAGCTCCATCAGGATCTGTGGAGGACGGACAGAGGTCGAGGGCGAAGAAGCGGCGGCGGCTCTACAAGTCTGAGTCGGAGACTTTCAGCCCCCCCCCTCTGCAGCTGCCGCCCCAGACCCACACCGACATCCGGCGGCCCCTGGAGGCCAAGCCCTTCCCCGCCGGCATCCGGACCATCGGCAGTTTCCACGGCGCCATGACCAACAGCCGTCTGAACCAGCACCTCCTCCAGGCGTCCTTCTCCAGCCCCACCGCCCACAAACAGGAAGTGCAGGCGGTGCAGCGCGTCCAGACGGTGACGCATGGCAGCATCGCAGCGTTCCGCCAGCAGAAGTCTACTCACTGCGCCCCCGCGCCGCAGAGGGGCCGGCGGAGGTCCCTCTGCTCCCCCGTGTTCTCCCCCCTGGTGGTGGGAGGGGAGAAGTACAGCCTGGCCTCCCCCTCAGTGAGGATCTGCACCGAGGAGAGAGGCAGGGTGCAGTTCAACAGGTTCCACCACCCAGCAAGGTGAGATATCACAGAGGAGGAGGAGGTGCAGAAATCTGCTATTGTTGGTGGATATTGCATGTATTTGTCCTACCACCACTAGGGGTCACCAAAGTCTCTTTTTTAAAAATCTTACCAGGAATGTTTTATTCAGAATTTGGCCAATGCTGTTAATAATCAGGTACATTTTTAACCAATGAATCATTTGTAATAGTCAGAATACTTTATTCATCCAGGGGGAAATTGAGTGGGTGACAGTTCCTCATTTTAGAATGAATTGAAAAGAAGTAAGTTTTTGTGCCATAAAAAAGAATAAAATATTGAAATAAATATAGGAAGTTTACATAAAAAGGTGCAATAGAAGATGCATTTAATAAATAGACCAAACAGATCTACAAAATAAAAAGTGAATGTAAAAATGTGCACGTTGCACTACAATATAAAAATAAATATATATTAAAAAATGTGTATTCCAAAATAGAAAGTGTAATTAGTATTAATAACGATATGAATGCTGAATTGCACATTTGAAAAGGAGTTATAGCTGCTGATGGGTATCATAAGTCCCTGAACATTTATACGTTATACTGTGACATACTTTTACTTTGGATTTTGTCAGATTTGAAAAGTGAATACAAAGTATTAAAAAGTGTTGAGGAGGGTCTTTGGTAATATATGGCTAATGGGATGATTGATGAGAAATCTAAGCCCTTCAAAAAAAGTTAAACTGTAAATAACAGTCTCCTTTCCTTTCTCCCTCACCTCTCCTCCTTCTTTCCTTTCCTCTTCTCCTCTCTTCGCAGTAAGCGACGGGGCCGGCCCAGAAAGAACCCGCTCCCCCTCCAGCCTTCCCTCCCCTCTCCCTCCTCCTCGTCCTCCTCTTCCACCTCCTCTGCCTCCTCCTCCTCGGGCTCCTCCTCTTCCTCCTCCGATGAGGACGACGAAGACGAGGAGGAAGAGGAGGAGACTACAAGCGGCGCGGTGGAGCCGTGCGCGGCCCCCCGCTGCCGCCTCCCTCAGCAGGACACGGTGCAGTGGATCCAGTGTGACGTGTGTGACGCCTGGTTCCACATAGACTGTCTGCACGTGGACCGCAAGAAGCTGCTGAAGGACCCCAACGCTGACTTCCACTGCGGCTGTCGCTGAGGGGGGGCGCACTGGTGGTGTAAAATAAAAGGCCCCAGTTAGACTTTCCACATTTACCCCATTTAAATCTGTATTTCCTTTAGCCGCACCCGTGGAAATCCTTTTATTGAGGATGCTAATGGCAGGAAAAAGTCCCTGATTACTCCAGCCTGATGTCCCAAGTTTGAGCGTTTCTAAAGGTCCGACGGCAGCTCCATGAACCTGCTGTCTGCTCAGTTTCTGGGCTTCGGTGTAATGAAATGTCTCAGGCGGGATTTCATTACGGCTTTGACTGCCTGGAGAGGTGCGGTCAGGGCGGGAAACATGATGAAATGTTTCTGAGCAGCGTGGCTGTCGCTGACCAGAGGCTGATGGAATGTTTCAGGTCCACACGCATTCAACTATATCGGATGTCTGCCGCCTTCACTGTTTTAGCGGCGATTGTTCAGGGCAGAAAGGACCTTCAGTGGACATTTACGGAAAGAAACCTTCACACCCATTGGGCTGTTTCCCCCCCCTCATGATAAACTCTGAGATGTCTGTAGTGCAGCTGTCTGGGGATCAGCGTACGTTGTTTCAGGACAATTCAACGGCAGGAAGTGCGTCAGCAGACTTCCATTGTGGCTGCTGATGAGAGGCGCTTGAGGGAGGATAATCAAATGTTTGAAGGCAGGAGCAGCCGCTGGAGTGTTTGTGCAGCTGTTGCTATGGGACGTCAGGCTGACAGTGTGGCTGCTGCTTTGGAAGCACTCGTTACCAGGGAAATGTCATGAAATAGCGTCCTCTGATTTTACAGAACAAACAGATTCAGAAGTGATCGTCAGTGATGTGTCTCTTAGTGGACACGTTCCTCCTGACTGAACTGTAACTGTACACATATCTGCTGCTTGAGTTGGACTGAAATAAACAAACTCTCTAAAGCACCTTTTCTATTATTTAAATCTGATTGACATGGACAAAAACTGTCCTTTTTTAAACGGCAACGTTTACCACCTTTTCATGTAATAGACTCAGTTCAGATAATGCTAGTGTTTATCAAAATGATTCTGGGCTGAAGCTGTGTAAATAAGCGTTTATTTTTTGATCTGAGAGGAAATGTAGACTCTTGAGCAATAAAATAAGAAAAAAAAAACGTTAAGATATGTATTTTTTGAAAAGTTGTAATAAATTAGACATGATTGGTTACAGTCGATTCAAATGTTGTTTCTGTGTAGCGTTGTGCATGCCAGTAGCTGTCAAAGCGCTGTCACAAAATAAGCAGGAAGTTGACTAATCACTGATCACTGGTTTGGGATCAGTTTCTTTTTTTTATTTAGTTGATTCATCTTAATTATTTTACAAGTGAGACCCAACAAAGTGTTCTTTGAGATCCATAATCCTGTGTGTTTATGGATTTCTGTGTATGATAAATGCACTTTCATAACATTACAATGAAAATAACCAACATGTGAGGAAACACCACTTCATTGCACTACTACTATATCAACTATATAGACGTTAACAAAGAAGCCTAATATCAGTGTTTATTTTGATGTAAAAGGAAAACAAAATAGTCAGGTTTTCTCTGTTATTTGTGTTTTGTATGTCTCATCACATGTTGCATATTATTTTTGTCTCTTGAGCTTTTTAAGATATGTAAATGTGTTTATGTCTTCCTCATCTCAACCCTCGTCCTCACATTGTCTCCAGCTTCACGTGAAAGTCTTAATGAAGGATGTATTCCCAAGCTGCAGTTACACGTGAACTGTCGCTGAGAGTGCTACTTTTTAATTGGGAGGATTGGCAGTGTGACAGCAATGGAACGGAGAAAAGGAAAAGCCATATTACGTGCAAATGAAGCATCTCTCACTACCATTTGTTTACATTAAGTTCTGTCAGAAATAAATGTGAGGCAGGATGGACAACTTTATTAAACCTGCAGGAAAAATATATTCATTTATTAAGCAGAAATCTGTCCTACAGTTTATGATTTGGTTACAAGCAATGCATTACAAAAAAGGTTAAGTAAGTAAATAACAATCCACAAATAAAAAATTAGTTAAAGGAAGGATTTCTGCTTTAAAATCATTGTATATTTTTGTTTTTTGTTCAAGCAACTTTAAAATAGCCCTTCTGGCTGCTCATGGGCATTTCTCAGAACGTCCTGAATTGAAGTAGATCAGTCATCAGTTGACAAATCAACGTTGTGTATTGACAACCACATTACTCTTTGCAAATCTGAAATATGTCTCGTTTACATTGCCTCAAAGACATTAAACTGAGATTACATCCAGTTTGCGTTCATAACACTGTTGATGTTGAATGTTTCGTGTGCCATCAGCATATTGGAGCCTTAACATGAATCATTGTGTTTACTGCTTGATACCGGACTCTTAAGGTGGAAGGTTGTGTTTGTTTCTTAAGTCTCGTCATGTTTGATCTGTCCTTTTCTCAGCTTAATACTGAAACATCACTGGACTCTTCTTTTACGCTCTCACTCTAACCGTCACATTTCAAAGCAGAAACACTTCGATGTTTTGCGGGGTTGTACAGAATTGTCATTTTCCTCTGAGATGCCATCAGCATCAAAGTTATCTGGGAAGAATTAAAAAATATTTTCAAAATGGATCGTTGTCTATTTTTCACCCCATAGCTTTGTTTTGTCCTCTTTAATCCAAAGACGATGCGATCTAAAACACATTTAATTTATCTTCTTACGCATCAATTCGTGATTGATGGAACATTGAAATTAGACATTTACATTTAGTTTTCCTCCGGGCTTTTGCGTCTGTGATACCACACAGATGTTATGTGTGTCTGCTTATTACTTTTATCGTTGTTTTCCTTGAAATGATCACAGTGAGTCAACAAGAACAACCTCATCCCGTAAATGAAGCCATTGAATCGGCTTCATTTACGAGGACGTCTTTCTTTTTCTTAAACTTTTTAATGGATTTCTCTTATCTGAGCTCATGCACGAAGTCACATTTGCTCACAGAATGACTGCTTACAGCATTTCTAAATGAAGTTTGCACATAAGATGATTGGTGTGTATTGTAATCCGTCACCATAGCTGTGAAAAATGACACTGTTGTTTTGGAGACGTTTCTGTCCCTTCCCTCGTAATGGTGCAGAGGCTGACATGTTTCCCTTTATAATTACCTGCATGTGTTATCTATCGTTGAGCGGACCAATCTGTTATTAGATCATCTCCTAAATATATTAGGGCTGCACGATTTGGGGAAATAATCTAATTGCGATTTTTCTGACAAAGATTGCGATTCAATTTGCGATATTTGTCTTTAAGCGACCCAAAGGAAGTTTATTGTAAAATGCGGCCATATCTCCGGCTAGGAAGGTCGTATCAACGTACTCCCGTCTATAGCACCCCGAGCTACTAGTCGGGTTGCTTTAAAGTCAAGCTTTAGTTTAAGATTCACCCTGTAATAGATGTAAAACATGTGGTGGAGCATTACTAACCTGATTCAGATGGTTTGTTTCATCAAACCATCTTCGCAGGCTTTGCGATTTGATAATTGCATCATTTCAAATCGCGATTTTGATTTAAAATTGATTAATCGTTAAGCCCTAAAATATATGCACATTACAGCTCATTAAAATGGAGAATTTGCAGCTTTCCTGTTTACAATCATTTTATATTTGTATCAATTAAAAACAAGCGGTACTCTTACCCCTACTACTTTGACATGTTTTACTGCTTTAATGTTCAAAAAGCTCTTTATTTTTCTCATGTGCTGCAACACCTCTTTCCACCCTCTGTCTGAAACCAGATTGTTGTACTCATTACTAGCATCTAGCATCATGGATACCCAATATCAGAGTTTAATGAGAAGGGACAGCAATGTGTTCAGCTGTGGCTGAACCACATCTAACCAAGCCCTGTAACTGACTGCCTTGTGGACACGATAAGAAGAATATCGGATGTATGCAGAGGGTAATTATGCTTGCAAATCTATCTATAGTTGTGAATCTTCTGTGAACTAGTCCCATGTGAGGTGTTGACCTTTGACGCCGAAGCATTTAGACTGGTTAGTTCATTTTTTGTAATCATTTATTGTAATTATGTTATTAAATAGTTATGAAGTAGCTCTGAGCTCAGTTTTTCTCAGTTTCACCCAATATTTATGTCCGATTTCACTTATTTGACGATACATGTCGATACATTCAGGGAAACTTATTTTATAATTAATTCAGTGCATAATCCATAACTAAAATATGTTTTCATTTAAAAACCTTAGGAAAAATAGGGTTGTTTTTTCTTCCATTTGAAGTCTGGCTGTGATTTTCTCCAGCGTTGTAAAGACGCAGCTTCTCATTCCCCAGCAAAATAAGCTGTGAGCATATACAGTAGAGGTTATGTAATCAGTTTATATAGCATGCAACATGTTATAGCTCACCGCTGCAGAAACCTATTACACCCTCTCAGACCGCTGCGTAGAAATACACAGAGATTATGGAGCTGAAATGCCCGCTGCCTTGACCTGCAAAGGTGGAGGGAGACAATTACATTTGTCCGAACTGTTTCCATAGCAACATGGGGGCGGGGGGCGTTTTAAGACTCCCCTCAGAGCTCCATCCTGTAATAACAGCCGGCACCTTCTCTCCCCTGATGATGCATGGAGGCAGACAGAGAGACGGAGAAAAAACAGATTTGGTTTATTTGAAACTGAGGTGGAGACGTGTGTGTGTGTGTGTGTGTGTGTGTGTGTGTGTGTGTGTGTGTGTGTGTGTGTGTGCACGCGTGTGCGTGTGATGGGTCTCAGGGACGCAGCAGTTATGTGTGAGTGTTGGTGAGGGAAGAGGTCACGTGGAGATGAAAGCAGAGGGCTGAAAAGTGTAACTGCCCATAGTCCTCATCTAGCAGCTCTCTGGCCTGTCACACACACACACACACACACACACACACACACACATACACACACACACACACACACACACACACACACACACACACACACACACACACACACACACACACACACACACACACACACACACACACACACAGGGGTCATTTCTCTCTATCTGTCATCAGAGCTCTGCAGAATAAGCCTGCAGTCTGTATTCGAGGCTGCATGTGATGACGGTCCATGATGGCTCTAAATGTATTTCTGAAATACTGTGACAATATACACGTTTCTTATAGTTTGGTAATCTTAAATCAATGCAAGCAGGTATTGTTTGTCTGATAATCTAAAATGGATTTGTAAACACATTTTAAACAAAAGAATGTCGGAAAGTCACCTTCAAATGAAACTCATTCATGCAAACACGAAATATACAACCTACTGATTTCGGACACTTATTGTTGTTTTAAGATACTGGTTTGTTAAATAAAGAGAACTATCATTATTTGTTATTGCATTATGTCACACACTTGCAGAGGAGAAGATCTGGGAAGGAAGTAACAGTAAGCAAGTTATAGTCTAGATTTTTAGGATTTACGTACACCTCTGATTTAGTTTAGCACTCCAAACAAAGCTGCCAGACTTAAAAGAGTCATATTTTTTATAATAATTGTCGATATGGATTCAGCAGTGGCCAGAAAAGCCTGAGTTTAATCTCAAAGATGGACCTTACACCTGCAGCTCAGCATCAGATTGCAAGGTAATCTTCAAATATTTGGAGAAATCATGTCTAAAAAAGGTGACATCTTCTCGGCTCTCACATTTGTATTAAGATTTGGCCTCCTGAAAACATCAAACCAGATGCAAACATGAAAACAAATTCCAAACTGATGCAGCTTGAAGCCAGTGTTTTCTGTCCGAGTGTGGTTTCCTGGTGTCCCAGCAGGGGGCAGTGTGGGCCTGGCTCAGGGCAGCAGACCCCCCAGAGGACAGGAAGCAGAGAGCCACTCCCTGCACATCACACAGAGTGGGGTCCTTCCATCACTCCTCTCAGAGAAGCAGCCGTGTTATTTGGAGTTGTAAGTGAGTAGAGTGGGTCGGGGTCTTAATGGATCACATAAAGCTCAACTTACCTCTAATGATCTCCTGCTCGCCTCTGTCTTCTGCTGGGCTTCATAAAGGTGTTTCAGTAAAAGCTGAGTCTTTGTAGCCATGACACAAACGTGTGTTTGCATAGCTGTATATATATGTGTGTGTGTGTGCGTGTGTGTGTGCCCCCTAGGATCCCAAGAGCAGCTGTTGATCCGTCTGATTATCTCACTTTCAACATTTTCCTTTCCTCTCCTCTTTTCGTCTCCTTGTCTCTTCCATCCTGTGTCTTCTCTTCTCTTTGTGTCTTTCATCTCTTTGTCCCTTTATTTTCAACCCATCCCCTCTCCTCTACTTTCTCTCCCCCCTTTCCTCTCCTCCTTTCTCCTCTCGTTGTCTCCTCTCCTTTCATCTTCTCTCCTTGAATCGTGATCCACTTTTTCCATTTTGTCATTTTCTCTCCTCTCTTCTCATCTTCCTTTCATCTCCTCTCCCTGTCATGCCTCCTCATCCCCTGTCTCCTTGTGTCTCTTTCAGAGATGGAGTACTCGAGTCCTGGACTCGGACTCGAGTGCCGATTTTCGGGACTCGTGACTTGACTCGGACTCGCGCACTGATTGACGCGACTCGGACTCGGACTCGTGAATTCTCACGCACGATGACTTGGACTTGGATTCGGACTCGGCTCGGACACTCCTTGGATGACTCGGACTTGGACTCGGACTCGGGCAAGTTTTCTCTGGAGTCTGATGTCCTCTGTGTCCTGGCATGTGCACCTGCGAGGCAAGTTCACGTACTGGGCGCGCCCCCGCTGCTATACCAGTCTAAAGATGTCCAGAGACACACCCCGCATCGTGCTGTATGCTTTTAAATATTTCGTTTCCATATTGGGAAAGAGCAGCGCAAAATGCACATTATGTGGACAGAAGATAGAAGAGAAGACTGGGACAACGTCGAATTTAAATCGACACCTTTCACGGCGGCACCCAGAAAAGTAAGTAGAAATGCTATTGTTAGCTTGCTAACCCACGTTAACGTTAGCCACTAAATTGACTCCACAAAGGTTTTAAGATGTCGGGTTGGATGGAGGTAGGGGTTGATATCACATCCTAGGGACCAAGTGCATTTTTATTGTCTAGATAGATACTGTTAAAAAGCTATACATGTCCTTGGTGATACTGCAGATGATGAGTAGCCTAGCCCGCCCCTAGCCTACAATGAACGTTGTAGCCACACTCGCTTCACAGCAGTTCAATAGACACATTAGTATACCATGACAGGATAAAAGCAATGTAGAGGAGCTACAGCTACATTTCAACACATATATCCACTAAGATTAATACATGAAGACTTGTGACTCGGACTTGACTTGGACTCTTCTTGGGTGACTCGGACTTCGACTCGGACTCGAACACAGGTAATGATGACTCGGACTCGTCTCGGACACTCCTTGGGTGACTCGGACTTGGACTCGGACTCGACTACGACTCTCCCTAGGTGACTCGGACTTGGACTCGGACTCGAAGAGTGGGGACTCGAGAGTGACTTGGACTCGTGAATTGGTGACTTGACTACAACACTGGTCTCTTTACTTGTAGTGTCCTCTTGCTTCTACTTGTATTATTTTCGTATGTTTCCTCCGCTGTTTCTCATATTTTCCTTTCCTC